TGTGGAAGAAAACAAACTCCACTTTTAGGTTGGAAGCAAATTTCAAATAAAAAATATCAAAAACTCCTTATTGCCACAACTGCTGCATCTGCCATTACCTCCATTACCATTGCCACCCCTGTAATATATCCAAACATAAACAGTACTATCTAGTCTAATGAAACCCAATGGCCAAGGCCTTCACATGTTAGTAATTTATTTAAGTATTGTTTAAAAAAATTATTTTTTAAAATTCAGAATGTCATATAAGCAAACAATTAAATAAAAAACAAATAAATCAGTAGAAATAGAAGTATATGACATTACCACAAATGACTAGGGAATTTGAATTGGAAATAGATGGGTTTTATGAAGGGGTTGATATGATGGCCATTCCAGGGGTTTGTAGTGTATTGGGAGAAAGGAGCCCTTATTGTTATTTAGTTACCCAATTATAAATAACCGGACTCATACTCAGAGGGTATTCAGAGTAGCAGCCGTGTTAGTCTGTATTCTCAAAAAGAAAAGGAGTACTAGTGGCACCTTAGAGACTAACCAATTTATTTGAGCATAAGCTTTCGTGAGCTACAGCTCACTTCATCAGATGCATTCAGTGGAAATGCACTGGAAATTTCCACTGAATGCATCTGATGAAGTGAGCTGTAGCTCACGAAAGCTTATGCTCAAATAAATTGGTTAGTCTCTAAGGTGTGACTAGTACTCCTTTTCTCTTTTCAGAGGGTATGTTCTGCCACTGGAAATTTTACCTGTACTGAAATGATCCCAGTAACTAACAATTTAACCTGTACCATCTTACAATATACCCCTTCTTATGCTATTGATGTTAATGCCTCTCAAAGGTATTTGAAAATAGTGAAACAACAGATGTGGTATAATGCTATCCCCGAAAGAGATGTAGTAGGACATCGAATAACCATAATTAATGCCACATTTGAGACTGTGAAATTCACCCTGCACCTATCCAGCTTTCAGATTACTTCCATGTATCCCAGTTGTTCCAAGGGAGCTGCTATCCAGTTCGAACAGCAAAGAGCATGGGTCTCCTCTAGGAAGAAAAGAGGCTTAGCTGGACACTTACAGGATGGTGCAAATAGTGCAGCAGCAATTTGGAATATTGTTAAGGGACAACAACATAACAAGAGATTAGAACAACTAGAGAGAGCCACAGGTGCAAGCTAAAGTTGGTGAATTACCAAAAATTTGTCCTAAAAAAAAAAACAAATTAAACAAAAATTAAGAACTTTAAACAAAACAAGGGCAACAACATAATAAGAAATTAGAACAGCTAGAGAAAGAAGATAGGCAAGGCTTGCAAACTTCTGTTTGCCTGGGATTGATAACTTTTTTTCAGTGGGTATGTATCATTAATTATAGCAGTTGACAAATGCATTTTTATGCCTGGGCTGGGGAGCTTTCTTGATTATCTTAAATTTCTGAACTAGGCAAATTCTTTTCTCCTCCAAGGTAAACTTTTCGATACAATGTTTTTATTAAAACAAAATTTCATATTTCTTAGCTTTTCCTTACTAATCTTATTTGGAAACTTTTCACTTTAATAATGGAGTCCTTTTGCATTGGAAAGATTTGATACAAATCTGTGTCCTAGGTCTGCATCTGCCTCATCTTTGGGAGGCTTATTCTTTTTAGTATTTTTGGGATGGCATCATGACCACCAAAATTCTATGCAGCTATATGATATTTTATGCAGGTTATTAAATGAGCATATTTGCAAATAATTGGAATGTAACAAACTTCAGTTTGTGGTCAGTTCACCCCCAAGCAGTGGCAGGGGTAGGAACTTGGCATGGGTAGGTGGGTGCTAGAGGGTGCCTGAAGGGTTCTGAGACTACCAGGGTGGATGATAGGGTAGGTCGGGGGTTCAGGTGTCGGGTGACTCTGTGGAGGCTGTCTGGGGGAGTGGCTCTTGGACAATAGTTGAGGTATTTGGGCCGATAGCTGGGTAGGGGAGCCTGGTCCACTATTGAGTCCCCTCACGTTCTGCCCATCTGCCCTTGCTGCCACCTACGCCTCCCAGCTGTTCTTTTCTCACTTGACTCCAGTGCTGGAAGCAGCCGTTCAAAAAGCAAACAAGTTGCCTGCAAAATAGGCACCACAAGGGCTCTTGGTGGTAAAAGCAGCAGCTACAACTGTGTGATACTAGGCAGCCCTGTGGCATTGCCATTTTAAATAGTCATTCTTAAGACGTGAAGCTAAAGGATTGTGTTTAGATTTGGTTTAAACAGGTTTTGCTAATCTATTTTTAACAAGGTTTGCTAGCCAGCCTAGGTGACCCCAAACAGAAATATATTTCAAAAAGTTTATTCAAATCTTTACAGTTTAGTCCATCCAGATTCTCCAGTCAAGCAGTCGGTAGGATCTTAAAACATTCCACCTTCATTAGAAGGCTTTCAATAACTCATTCTTTGATACCAGCTGCTGTAGTTTGCCTCTGAAATACAGTAAATTTCATTTGAATCACCTCTTTAAAATGCTGTAAATTATTCGCTCTGAAGAATGGTATTTAACACCAAGTATACAACAAAATCAATTAACTTCCTGTGTACGCAGTCTATATATTTAATTGTTTCGGCCAGTTTATTTTAAAATGAACAGCTGGCAGAAGAAGATATCATTGTTAGACTGGCACCTGCTAATACTGCAGTAGTTTGTCACCATTTCTGTTACCTTCACGCTTCTGAAGGGATTGCAGTTAAGCAATTTAAAGCTTCTTATTGGACATAAATTTTGCATACCAGGTAAAAGCACGGCAGCTAGTTCTTTCTTTCGCTCCCCCGCTCCCCTCCCCTTCTGCTTCCAAAAGCACTAATATAACACTAATTTGTCTGCTTTAGATATAAGCTGTCGTCAAAAACCATTTAAATTCTTGGCATTTAGGGAGGTTTTATGTGTGCACAACTTATCGGAAATATGGCTATCTTTTTAAAGCAAAATTTAATGATTAAACAGGAATAAATGCTTCACCTCTTTTCCCAGATAAGTGTGGGCAAAGAACTCTAGCAACAATAACTTCCTTCTTTTTTTAGTGCATAAGCATTATCTAGGTATTACATAAAGTCTTATTGACTTAATCAGCGCTCAGCCTAATAAAATGGACTCTGTCCTCATGGTTTCATTCATATTTTAAAAAGGTCCATAAAGACAGGAAGAACAGTTTCAATGACAAACTTTGGGATTTTGCAGAGGCAGAGTACTATGCACAGAGAGAAGACTTCAGTTTACTGGGATTTTGCTGACACTTAATACACAATCTTAAAATCTTGGCAAATGGCTGCCAGAAATACACAGAATAAGAATACTATGATAGCTGGAACAGGGATCCAGTGGCCTTTAATCAGAAAATGAACGTCTTTCTGCCAGTTGGCCGAAACACAACTCTCTACCATGTTGGCTTTCCTCTGTCAAAAATTCAAAAGGACAAAAAAAAAATTCAGTCTTAAAGCTTGTGGAAAAATGGGTATTGTAGCTAAATAGGGCTTAAAGAACAACAATTATATATAAGTAAATTTCTGTATGTGTAAGATAATAGGTCACTAGTTTGAATTAATTACCCAGTACCATTTTCCTATTAGCCAACAGTAGATTATGTATGGTGTGGGTTGAGTAAAGTGTGATGAGACTTTATCATGAACAGTATATAGCCTTATTTTATTCTGCCAAAATTTTTTGTTCCTAAAGATATTCAGAATGCTATATACTCAGGCTTTAACTCTGAGTCTTTCCTCCTAAGTTAATCTTTTCCTAATTTGAAGCGGCGATTACTTGGCATAAAAGTAGCTGCTTGACAAGTTTAAAGATACTTGTGTTTTTCTTTGACAAAAACATTGGAAAAAGTTTACATTCTATCTCATTGTGGGGGCTAGAACAAGCACTATCAGACAAGAAAGTATGTTTCTACTCCATGCAAGGACAGAATGCTTATGTTTATTTCAGCATTATTATTCCCTTGCATCTTCTTTCAAGGAAAAAATCCTAATGTGTTGTGGCAGCGATAACAGACAGCTCTCCAAATCAGCATTAGCAGCTACAAGCTTTTAGGCCTGGCTAGAACTAAAAATGATTTTCCAATTTGAATGTAATATCCAAATACATTTAGTGCAGGATAAGTTCATGTTTATTTCAGTTTGAAATTGGTTTCTAAAAATGCAACTGTGGAAGAGGAAAGTGGAATTAAATTAAAATGGACTTCTAGAGTATTCAAATAAAACTAAATCTGTGGGAGCAAAGTGCTGTTGATTTTGGAGTGCTCTGACATGTATATTGTAGACCAAATATGCCTGATGTTTAGTGGTGGTGTTGCCCTTTCCTTTTATTTAGAGAAGTGAAGTATGCAGTGTTTACTTCTCTAAGCAAGGAGGCAGACCAAAGCAGTCACTAAGCACCAGTGACACTTGGGATGTGTTGAACAATTGGGTTTTGAATCTCATCAAACTAAAAATAGCTAAAAGCTTCAAAGAAAAAGAGGCTCCAAAATTCATTAATGTTGTTTAAAAGATCAAGTAAAATAGTCCTGAAAGCTGAAAATTATCGATGTAATCTAGCTGGGGCAGTAAGGTAAATACTGTGGATTGCTTGTGGCTACTTATAAACTAGAACTGCATGAAATGTGTAACTTAAAAAATGCAAAAGATATGTGCATAAGTAGGTATGTTATCTAAACAACTTGTGTTCAAAATTATAACTCTAATTCCCATGTTTTAATTCATTCATTATTGATTCTTTTGCAGTATTTTGTCTGCCAGCAATAGTGAGGGAGTTCTTTGTCTTGGATAGACACCAAAGAGGAGTTCATCCTAAAATGAATTTGAATTCTTAAAAGTAATGTGGAAAAAAAACATATCACACCCTACCTTTAAACATTAAAAACTCTTTATTTAAGAACTATTATTTAAGAAAATATGTGCATTGCATAACTAGGCTTATGAAATACTGGAGGTAATGGGCACCTGGTATTGACTATATTTGTATCATGTCTCTTACAGGGAACAAACGAAATTCTGCGAATGTATATTGCTTTGACGGGTATGCAGTATGCAGGAAAAATCTTAACTGGAAAAATTAAGTATGTTCTTACTACTTGCTAGTAACATTCACTTAAGTTAACCAAAATTGATAGTCAATACATTGTCCATTTAACAGGAGGTTAGAGCAGAGAGATTGCAAGCAAAAATTAGAGTATTTTGAGACCTTCACAAAATTTTGAAAAGTCTTTTCAACTCTTGATGCTTGTTCAGACATCTTTTCTGTATGTTTATGAATTTTAGACCACTCCATTTTATTTTACAACTTTAAAACAGTGACTTAAATCTCTACATGTTTTACGAGCCTACATGGGTGGACTAGAGTAAATCCGTCTTGTAGTACCTTTTAATCATCCAGCTAGTAATGTAACTTTTTTGTCCAGAAATTCATGAATGGCTATTCTTATATACTAAGCCATGCTCGGTAGCCTTGTTCTAGGACCGCTGTATGATCCTCAACTCAGTGATAAGAGCCTGGGTTTCTAGATTTTATAGGGAAAAGGCTCTAGCCTGTTTAAAGAATATACTAGCCTTTTGTAACTTAGTCCTGGCATCTTTGATAAGGTAGCTGCATTCTGCTTCACAACATGCTGTATATTTTGAACACTCTTGTACTGCTGCTAGCCAGGCTACACAGTAAGTTAAAGACTTAACAAGGAGGGAAACCACAAAAGTTCTGGCTAACCTTCCAGTACTTTCTGTGGCTATTACAGTAGCTTGAGACCTCCCTCCGTCCTGCAGCCCGCAAGCGTCCTCCACCATCTGGCTCGCCGTTACCTTTATTTCGCTGTCATTTGTCAGCTGTGTTGCAGTAGCACCAACAGTACCTTTGGCACTTTCCAAGCACGGTACGATGCCGGGCTTGGCTCCAGTGGGGGGCTTTGCACCAGCGTAACTACGCCACTAACTGCTCCAGTGCAAAACCCCAGGATGGAGACCCGCACCAGGGAAAAACGTGCCTTGCACTGGTGCATGCTGCTTTTACGTTAGTGCAACTGCATTGGAACCAAAACCAAACAGCCCCCAGGGTACACATGCCCACCGTCTGCTCCAAAGATCTTACAGTCGGCAAAGCTCTGCTTCCCCGCCCCCCCCCCCGCCTTTTCTCTTGGTGGTAGATGGGGGAGGCAAGAAGCAGAGCAGGATAGAGAGATTCCTGCTACAGCTGCTGCTTCTGAGAGAGAGAGCATGTGTGCTCCTATTTCTCCTTTCTACTTTTACCCCGTTCACGGGACCTTAGTCATTTGGGTGCTTCTGAAAATTTTATCCAGCATCCCCATATTTGGTTGCAAGCATCTTCAGGAGTCTTCTGTTTCCTGGGTTTTCCCTAAATGACACAGTGCGTGTTTGGCTATAACTCAAGGATAAACCACAACAGCACCAAATATACAAAGACAAGGGCATGGGAGAAAGTCCACATTCAGAAAGGTAATGAAGATCGGCTTGGGTGTTATGATTAAGGGAGAGCACCAGAAATTTGTTTAGTTTGCAAGAGGTGGGGTTAATATGAGCCCATTAAAGGCTTTGGTGACTGGCAAAGTTCATGCCAGATTGTAGTTTGTTCAGCATGCAATGAGCTCTGATATATATGTATTTATACATTTGTTCCTTCTTTGCACTTGTGTTGCTGATTCTGAGGACATTTCCCGTGTCTGAGATGTGGGGATGGGGGGCGGGGAGGGAGAGAGGTACAGTCTTCAGCGTACGTTGTCCTATAATGTTTCAGGGAAATGAAGAAAGGAAATGTCAGCGTGGCATTGGAGATATTTGTGAACAAATTCCGTGACAGCATGGGCAGAAAAGTGGATTTAGGCCTAGTTGGCAAAGATGGAGTAGTACATCCCAGCCTTGAGGTAAGTACTGAATGTTAATTATCAGACAAACCTACTGATGGACTAGAAAAGCCAGTGTCAACTACTTGACAGTTTTCCTTCATCTTAACTCAAGGGGAGGTGCAGGAAGCAGTGCCCTTATAGAATATCTGGACTCTGGCCTACCACCACGCTAACTTGGGTCTCTCAGTTCTTTGTCACAGCCTTAGGCCCTGATCCTGCAGAAATTTAAGTGTGGGCTTTATTTGTATATAGTGTAAAATTGGGAGTTTATAGAAAAATGACAATGACCCTTTCAAAGGAAGGGAAGAAATTAGTGGAGAGTAGCACAAGTTTGTCACAGTAGAAACTCTTACCAGTTCCTTCCTCATCTGACTCCCTTCTCTTTCAAAGTATTGCTCATTTTCTTGGCCTTAGTGGAACCCCTTTTTTCTTTTTTCCTTTCTCTAATTCCTCTCTTTTTATTGAATAGTTTGGTCCTAGACAGGGCTTTGTGTTACATGCATGATAATAAGCATTGGTTTACAAATGGATGACCTAGTGCAGTGGAGTACATGTGACTTGGTACCTGTAGAAAAGTAAAATATAGTTTTCCCCATCTATCATTAAGATGCAAAAATCATAGGAAAACAGTGAAGTGGTTTTATTGTGCTAGATAATTTTGCTCGGTGTTAGTGGCACTCAGACACAGAGAACTTACTAATATTATTCTGCTCACACAGGGGAGCTTTAACAATGTGAAGTTATCCCCAGGATAGGTACTTTGTGCTCTATGGTGCTAAAAGAGTGACGGGATGTCACTTAAAAATTAATCCATTTTTTTACTACAGCAAACTCTCCACTGCTGGCTTCATTCTGGGAGGTATATCAGGTATGAATCTTTTCTACAAGAGGTTCAAGCCATGCTTTTTTGTTCTCTCTGCACTGTGAAAACCATAAAATAGTGCTAAAAGTTACACTTGAGAGTTGCTACGAGCTAAATATGCTGTGTTCAGTATTTTCCTCCTGCTTGGTGCCAGGAGTTGAGAGAATTGATCAGTTTTGATGTATCACCATTCTCAGGATTAATAGCCTTAGACCTAACAATTTTGCTGTAGATAACTAAATGGCATTACCTCAGTATTTGCAGCGTTTCTTATTCCTGAGCGTTTGCTATATTTCCCAACACTGCAAATGCCGAGACCTTCTCAGGTAAAATTGGGAAGTTTTAATGTATAGCCACTGTGCTGTACTTGCCTTTGTGGAAGAGTAAGTGAAATTAATGCCTGCAGAATGGGCTCTTAAAAACGAACTAGCATTTGCTGACCAAGGAAAACCTTGGTAATGCTTGGCTGAGGGAATCTGCAACCAACTACTATTTCTCTCAGGGAAAGGGCAGTCCGATGCTTCCTAACTACAGTGCGTCTTCTCCTTTTGGAAAGTGGCGGGTTTTCTTCCTTGTTGGGAATGTCCCTTCACAAATCAGAAGTAAAAGACCACTTCAAAACCGGATTCTTAGAAAAGACCAAAATTACCCAGGTCTCTTATGGGTAACGAACATACTTCATCATTAACTGTAATGTTTCTTTTTTCAAGTGTCCTGCAAGGCAATATTTTTAATTAAATTGGTAATTTTGTTTTGTTTGCTATATGAAGGCAGCCTGCCAGGTGTTTTTGAAGGATTACTTCTGCTTCTTTTTACTGAAGAAATATTATTAAAATGCCAAGACTGGACTTCCAGACGTTTTCCAACAGAACCAGGGAATTCCAGACATGTTCATTTTGATCTTTAACACCATTAACTGAGGTGTCAAAGGTGCTATGTCTAGCAAAGTCTTCCTTTATCCAAAATGCTCATCGAGTTTAAAAACAACAACCCAACTTGCTATTTTAAAAGGTACTGTTGAAAACTGGTGGCACTTGCTACATTCGGATCTGGTACTGCACTTGTTGACTTCAGTGGAAGCAGGTCGTTCAGGCTGGAATTACGCACATTTTTTCCCCTGTACAACTGCCCTGTTCGTTGCTTATTGCGCCCTCTTTCTTCTCCTTTCCCCTTTGATGCAGGACAGCATTGAGGTGCTTTAACAGGATGGCAATGAGCCTCAGACTCAACACTTCACTAAAATTCAGCCTTTTTTAAATTAAACATTTATTTTTAACATAGCCAGTGCAGTTCTGAAATCAAGGAATTAGAAGTTGTGCTACACCTGTTAGGAATATTTAAATTACTGCCTTCTCACAACAGTCTGAGCTTTCCTACGCTCAGTAAGTAGTCCCATCCAGCACCGGGTTTTGGATTCCTGACTGGGCAGTGAAGGAGCAGCTTGCCCTTTCAACCTTTACGCTATGTAAACTGTTTGGCTAAATCTGCAGTGTTGCCAGTTAATCTAGTTTCTTACAGAGCACTCAAAACACGTATTTAAAATAATTACTAAACAGTAGATCCCCTTTGTTTTCACTTACAGGAAAGTAGCAAGAAACTTGAAGAAAACATCTATTATTTTGGAACTACAGTGGAAGGCTTGCTAAGGAGGTTTGGCAAAGTAATCACATTTTTTAATAGGATTTTCATGTTGAATAGGTTACATCAGAATTTAAAACTGACAAAATACAGATAGTGGTTTGCCTCATGATAAGCTAGTATTCCTCGCGTATAATACAGTTCCATCTAATGTATTAAACAAAAATCAGTGGGGATTCTACGTTCACCCTTGGTAGTGGTAGACAGCCTCTGCTGAAAGTTCTGTTGTCACTGCAGTTAGCTGCCAACAGGTGCAAAGAATTGGTGGAGTCCCTAATGCCCTTAGTGTAAAATCTGTGTCATGCATGACACTTAAGGAGGAAGGGGAGAATACATGTGGAAAAGCAAAGGAAACTGAAGTGTAAAAGTTTGTTACACTGGCTTGACAGGCTGTGCTAAAGGAAGTAAACCAGTGACACAAGCATACGTTCTTTTTTGAAATGTACTACATTGTGTTTGGGTGGACATTGCTGGGTAATTGCGGTTTTAAATGATGTAATGGAAGCTGCTAAACTTATTTTTTTTAATCTTCTCTAGACTATAGTTGATGAGCAGTTGGTTCTGAAGAGAGTGGCAGATGTCTCCATTAATTTGTATGCAATGACAGCAGCTATATCCAGGGCTAGTCGATCCATCTGTATTGGTCTACGCAATCATGATCATGAAGTAAGTGCACTTACATTTTCTATGACTGACTAATGCATGTGGTCACACCCTTTCAATATCCTATCTAAAGAGTCTGTTGAAACTAGAGTTTTCTATGGAGAACTGCAGACTCTGTACCTTAACTTAACCTTCAGTTCTAGGACCATCTAGAGAGCAGAGACCTTTGTAGCTGTATTCACAGCCGCTGCAGATTGGAATGAGATCCTTTCTCTCCTCCACTGAAGCAATGGTTCTGTGTGCTCTGTGCAACAGGATAGACTTTAAGGAGCTAACACAGGGGTGGGCAAACTTTTTGGCCCTCGGGCCACATCGGGGTTACAAAACAGTATGGAAGGCCAGGTATGGAAGGCTGTGCCTCTGCAAAGAGCAAGGCCCTGGCCCCCGCCCCCTCCCACTTGCCGCCCCCTGACTGCCCCCCCAGGATCCCACACCCTATCTAAACCTCCCTGTCCTCTTCTTCCCCCCTCCTTCCCCCCCCAATCCAGCCCCCGCCCCATTACCACGCTGCTCAGAGCAGCAGGACAGGCTTATGGGGAGGTGGGCAGGTGCAAGCTGTGCTGCCCGCGTGGTGAGGCCGGGGGCTACCTCCCTGGCCAGGAGCTATGGGGCTGGACAGGACGGTCCCATAGTTTGCCCACCTCTGAGCTAACACCATCCTGCATATATCCTTTAAAGGGTGGGCCTTCAGGTAAACCAGGGAAAGGTCCACTTTCACTTCAACAGAAATGTACTCCTATCCTTAAGAATGCTGTTGGGCTGCCAGTCTTTTATAAATTGAGACAACGCACGTTAGCATCTCAAGTTTTGGAAAGCCACAGAAGAGAGACTTTTTGTTTTTCATTTAACACTGGGGTGGGCAAAGGGCCACATCTGGGTATGGAAATTGTATGGCGGACCATGAATGCTCACAAAATTGGGGGTGAGGGTTCTGGCTGGGGGATGCTCCAGGCTGGGACTGAGGGGTTCAGGAGGGGGATCAGGGTTGGGGCAGGGGGTCAGAGGAGCAGGCTCTGGGTGGTGCTTATCTCAAGCAGCTCCCAGAAGCAGCAGCATGTCCCCAATCCGGCTTCTATGCGCAGGCGTGGCCAGGCAGCTCTGTGCGCTGCCCCTGCAGCTCCCACTGGCTGCAGTTCTTGGCCAATGGGAGCTGCGGGGGCAGTGAGCGGAGCCCCCAGTTAACATGCAAGGGCTGGATGCAGCCCCCAAGCCATAGTTTGCCCACCACTGATTTAACTGTTATAGCAGTACAATGAGATTTATAAAAACAGGTTCATCTCAGAATATAGAGAACACAGTTGTTCACAAATAAAACGGACAATACAGCAAGAGGTTTCTAATGGATGTTACATTAAATACCTCTCAGGTAGGAGAGGAAAAGAAATATGGAGTAAGTTAACCAACTTCCAGTTTGTGATCTTTGTACACAAATGATATTTTATGAATTATTAAAGCTAACACTGTCATCCAAGTATTCTCTTTAATACCACATAATTTTCTGATGTTCGTGTCAGGTTTTTTCCCCAGACATAATGGGTAGGAGATTAAAACTTCAGTCTTTAATGAACTTGGTATGTGAGAGATTTTTTTTTTTGTAAAGTCACGTCTGGATTTGTAATGGAGTACCCATCTTCTAGTCACTGTTGGGTGATAGGGTTATTCCATTTACTGGAAGTAGTAGCTGTGGAAAAAATGGCAACCTGTCAGAATTCTTCCCACTTGTATCAATAGAAAATCAGGCTCTATACCATAAGACTAAAAAGAATTACACTCTCACACACCTGATCTCAAACCCATTAGCTTTTAAAGACATTTAGCATGAGTTAGTAGTAATTATTTTCTTGGAGAAACTTGTTTGTATTACAATATTGTATGATTTGCTTAATACCTTTCTTTTGTTGGATTTCTTTTATCAGGTGCTGCTTACAAATATTTTCTGCACAGAGGCATATTTTAAGAATAATTATGCCATGGCGGAGTTAGAAAAATGTAAGTGCTCTAGTAGTGGGAAGGATAAACTTAATGTGATTAGAACAAACTATATGCAAGGACCTAACCTGGCTTATGAGTATGTTGAATGCACATAAGCGGCTTCACTTGGGATTAGGGTGGGTGTCACCAGATGGCACTGAATAGTACTGGCCTGTTAAGAACTTCTGAAACTAACAAACAAAGAAATGCTGCTTTGATTTTGTGATGCAGTTTTTTTTTTAGGGGGGAAGGCGTTGCTCCATGGGAACAGGGCATTGATGGTTTGGCTGAGGATTCTGAAAGCCCAAAGGTTGTCATAAACCACATACAGGCAATTCCCTCTAAAACTGGTGTTCCTTGAAACAAGTTGCCCTAATGTACCCCAACGCCCACCATTTGGCAGAGGGACAACACTGTTTATACAGAAGTGTCTAACTCCCTCTCTCATGGTTATTGGTAATACAAATATCAAGAGCTCCTCATACACAGAATTCTTAAGAGAAAACTAATGAGTGCCGCCTTCAAGGCCTGGCCCAACTTCCTCTCTTGGAATCTGCTGATTTCTGTAATATGCATAGCATCGTTAGGAAGGAAAAAGGCCACAGACGCTGCTATTGAACCAATTAGTAATATAGGTCCTGTAATATAGTTGCTGTTTCTTTGTCTTCCTCCTGTGCTGGCCCAATAGATGTCTGGACTCTTCAGACTTTCTGCAAATAAATGCATACTAGTGTCCTGAATTTAACTAATGTTTTTCTTTGCTTCTCCCCCTACCCCAGATGCTGCTGAAAACCTGGATGACAGTATTAAAAAAGCTGCACAGCAGGTGCTGGAAAAGAGAGCCTATATCTGTCCTCATCCACTAGAGAGGACATTCTGATCATACTGAACAGGGAGCCGATTAACCTATCGGAAACTTTAGTTTTTGTACAAATATTTTTCACCAGCTGCTGAATGTAATTGTAATCTTGTAAAATAAAACATCTTCTCACACCACGGTGGGGGAGAGACTAAAAAGAAACCACTAGTCAGAACCTTTTTAAGAGTAGGCTAAAGTGATGCTCGTTCAGCTATGGGTATTTACATGAGATGGCCAATGAAGAAAACTTTTTACAACCTGAACAGTTATTGGGAAGAAGAATACAGCCAAGCCTTTCATCACTGGCCCAATACTTTTGACTGCCACCTGTTTTCTCATCCTTGGCTTCAGAAAGTATTACAGGAATGAAAATGTCACTTTCCAGCCACTGTCATACAAATTAGAGTTGACAAATTTAAGAATGAACTTTTTTTTTTTGCCAGCTACAAGTTTGAAAAGCTTGTGTGTGGTACTGATATCTGTAAGTGGATGAACAAACTTTTTGCTAATGGTGAAATGTTCAAATGATGGTGTATAAAAATTAACTCTCACAGTGAGAACTATGGGCTTGTCTGTCTGCTCCTGCTGGGAACATAAGGATGCCCATCAGTCAAGTGAGCATTCTCCTGAACCTACATTGGTGCTTTAATGGTGTCTTTTGTAAAAACAAATGGTAAGTGACTTGTACTCAAAACTTAGAGAAACAGGCAACCCTTGCTGTATGGGGTTCAGACACTTCTAATTTAGCTTCCTCTCTGCCTATGATCATTCTAGCTGTGGATAAAGGGAAATTGCTTGGGAATCTAGGGAGAGGTAACTTTCTGCAGCATTGGGGGGAGGGGGGGGAGGAAAAGTTCTACAACGGTCAGCACCTCCTTGCCCTCCTGGAGTTTTAGTAAATCAATCCTCCCTAGGGGGTCATTAATATCTGAAAGGCTGATATGCACTGAAACCATTACACAGGCTGTCTATACTTGGAGTTGGAGATATAAATTCTGGCTACATACACAGGCCAGCTAGCCCCTCATGCGGTACTATATTTGTAGCAGATTAGCGCAATCACAGCTAAGGCTTGTATGTCTCCTGAAGCTAGAATTTACAGCTCTACTTTCGGCATGCCTCCAATCCATCCCCTCTAGCACTTTGTATTTTAGTTGCTATCAAATTACCTGACTCTTGAGTGGAGTCTTGCTGTAGCAGAAGGGTTGTATCCTCCCCTTTCTTCACTGGTCTCTTTCTCTTGTAAAGAAAGGAATGTTCATAACAAAGTAACCTGGAATGAAAAATCAACATGCTAATTACATATCTGTCTTTACAAACACTGGACTATCTGTGACAAAGGATTTAATTTTCTGTAAATGTGCATATTTCTATGCTATTATATGCCATAGGGACTTGTACAATACAGTAAATCAGTTGTTAAAACCACTAATTTTAAGCCCTTCACTACACTAACCATGAAGTCTTTCCCCTCCACAGGTTTTATGGGTCCTCACAGAACAAGTTTGTTAGGAGCTAATGAATACTTGGTTGTACCTACATTTCTGCCAACTGAAAGCATAATAAATGCCCTTAATTTTCCAGTCAGATGATTGTACTCATGGAAGGATCCTGTAATACTAGAAAAGCTGTTTTAACATCTGTTAGGATGTCCTCCTTCCCTTTGCTTTCTCAGTACCAAACACCTTTTCAGCTACTATTAATTCATCACTTTTAGTAGTAGTATGCAGAAAACTAGCACTGCAGAATTATGGCAGCATTGTGCCCTACAGGTGCTGATTCATAAATTGAGATGGTTCTTTTTTACAAGCAAAGTTACATGGGTGAAGCACTCCTTGATGTGTATTGGATAAGTATTATTAAAGGGCTGAATAGTCATCAGTAACTGACTGTTTTAAAATTAACTAGAAAGTTAGTTGACTCACTTGAGCTGAATTTGTGCCCTGTGTTACATCTGTAAATCTCAAATAACTCCCTTGCAAGCAGTGAAGTTTCTCTATATGCTACACTAAGTGACTTAAGCATTCCTCTGTTTTCCAAATCAAGAGTTGTTTAATGGAAAGGATAAGTTTCTGTTTCTGCCAGTGGTCATAGCCACACCTACACAAGTGAGTGCATATATTTGTCCACTGAAAGATGGGGGTGTGTTTTCAATGTGATACCTGTCGTCGGTATACGAATATCAGTGTGTGTGCATACACATATACTGACAGGTATTACATAGCCACACCTATATAAATGAGTGCATGGTCATGATAGTATACTTCCTTGAGCACAAAGGTTTTCCTTGGAATTGTCTATACTGTACGCAATAGAGTAGGCACAAGCTTCCTTCAGCGTTAGTACTGAAATGAAGCCCCTATGATAGTGTCGGACCAATATGCTCCTCAGCATGAGAATTAACATAATCTTGATCACTTTAAGTCATTAAAAGCTTATGCAAGAGCAGGAGCATTACCCTAGTATCCTTCCCAACTCTGGGGTAATTACATTCTATTTACCCAAGTTACTCCTTGCATTTTTCATTTCCTTCCTAAATGAATTTGGGTTCTTGTGCATTGTAAACATTACTGTGCTGTACCCTCAATTACTATGCCATTCTGTGCATCCGGACTAAGCTGCAGGTCAGCTGCTTCTCCAAACTAAGTGGCTTACTTGAAGTCGGCTCCTTTCAGCTTTTCAAACTTTCTGTGTTCCATGTCATGGCAGGGAACTATATTCCCATTCCACTTCAAGCTGTGCTGGTCTTCAAGACCTGGAACAAATCCATTGGTGGTGCTCCTCTTTCTCGTCAGGTCTGGGTGACTGCCAGTGGCAGGTAGATGCTGCAACACTGACAGTGCTGGGATAGGCTAGGACAGTACAACAAAATTAAGCAGAAACAGGTTTCAGCCTGTGCAGTACTTCTTTTGCTTATTGAATAAACAAACATTTAACAACGTGGGCACATGTTAGTAAACTAAGTCCTGCTCTAACTTTTTTTTTTTAATTTTATTTTTGCTCAACAGGGCAAAATCCTGGGGCCAATATTTGAACCCCAAAAAGCAGGTTTTTTCAAAGGATGACCTCAGTAAAAGTAAAGGAAACATCTATTTTCTCCTCGACTGTTTCCCACGTATCTAGAAGAGTCAAGGCATACAAACACAGTTTGAAATAAGCTGTCAGCAACTACTGATGTGTATGGGGGAAAAGCTGGCTGTTTGTTAGTCATTCCATACTGATAAGATGAGCACTCTCTGTGCAAAGAGACCTTTATGTGCTGGTTTCTGGCTAACACTGCTATAACGGCTTAAGTTCAAGAGTTTTAAAAAAAAGTGAGAGAAGGAGTCTGGCCTCACGGTGCACAAGCCCAGTCCTAAAGTATTTTGTCGTACGACCAAGCTGGCCGCAAGAGCGGGAAAGCGCAGTTCCTGAGCATTTGGGTGTCACGAGTCTCAGTTGTATTTTCATTTTACTGCAGCAAAGTCTCATGCGTCATCAGTATTCAAGACCAAACCTACAACGGTCTTATTTACAAGGGTTTGTCACTACTCTTTACTCTCTAAACCCATGTAACCTTTTGTTTCCTGGGCAGAAAAAATTCATGCCCCATTAACTATCACACAGAGAAGCTGTAAAGTAGCTCAGTAACACTGACACACTTTAGAGAACGGAAGGAATGCCTGAAAATTAGGGTGCATATTGTATCAGTTACCTCCTCTGTATCAGTGACTATATTGGATGAGGCAGTGAGCATCTGAGCTCTAGTATTCTAGCGGCAGCACCCAGACCTCCAAAGATGATGCGAAAACACTTCAAGGAGGCAGGAATCCTACCGCGCAAGACAATGAGGATGATGACACTGCTTACAGTACAGAGAAGGGAAGAGTCCTGGGCACTTACTTAGGAAGTGGCCTCTCAGCTGCGGCAATGCAAGCTTTTAAAAAAATATACAACTCGCCTGGCTAAGGCACCATAATCAAAAAGAAAGTGGTGGAAACTGCAAGTTGAATTAGGGACTCAGTAGGGGAGGGGAGTGATTGAGTTCAGGTAAGGGGTTCTCACATTGGGGGTTGGGACGCCTCAGGGGGTCATGAGGTTATTACACAGGGGGTCATGAGCTGTCAGCTTCTGCCCCACTTTGCATTTATAATGGTGTCAAATATATTTAAAAGTATTTTTAATTTATAACGGGGGGGAGGGGGTTTGCACTCAGAGGCTTGCTGTGTGGAAGGGGTCACCAGTACAAAAGTTTGAGAACCACTGGTCTAGGGAAAAATATGCAGGTAGAGAAACTAAGTTCAAGCTCTTCCCTTAAAAAAAGACGAACGGGCAGAAAAGAGTGACTTTTTTTTTATCGTTATTACTGCATTTGCTTTGGAAAGGGAAAGACAAGCATTTTACAGCACACTTAACTTCAACCCAAACTCTGAGAGTGTGAACTGGGGAAAGGAGAGAGGGTCTGAGGGCATGCTGCTGTGCGTTCATCCAAAACAAAAAGGGAGGTGGCGGATGTTTGCTTTAACTTTGCTTTGTAATAAACAATCGACAGTTCCTGAGGTTTTTTTTTTTCCCTCTCCAAAGTATTTGTAACTGAAAGGAATCTCCACTTTGAGTTTTAAAGTTTTCTCATTGTTTGGGTCAGTTATTTATATGCAGTCACTAACCGTCTGAATCATCCAACAAGAGACTAGTTTGGTGCAGGCAACCCCTGTAGCTTTTCACATCAACTAATGCAAACCACTGAATCTTACAGGGCTGGGGGGTGTCTGTGTGGTTTCTTCAGTGTCACCTCGCACTACAGTGCTAAGAAAGCCCATACTGCATAATGGTTTTCAGGAGAGTGTATGGTGGGAGAGTTGGTGTTTAGGCCATAGAAGTGGTTTGGGCCCTGCGTAGCTTTCAGTGGAGAATATTACCATTTATCTTAGTGCTTTTAAGCCAGCTGGCCAAAATCATATTCACTTTCTCCCCTAGAGGAACTAAGTTTAACAACGTTTTCCTGGCTGGTAAATTATTCTGAGAGTTTGGTAAGGCTGAGCTAAGCGGGGCCATATGCCTCAAAGATAGCAATGACTCTTTAAATGATAATCTATGTCAACAAAATATCTTGATCAGCTAAATATGGAAATTGTTTTAAAATGCTGCAGACTGTCTATCAGCATGGCACTCATAGGTGCTGTTCCTATGGGAACCCCAACCCTTAGGATCCCAGAGAAATGCACATTACCTGCAGGATCATGTCTGGTCTCTTAAGTGAGAATTTCTCTGGTTCATCTTTCAGAAGTCCCTTTAGTTTGTCTAGCTGGGCACTGGCTTTTGGGCCACGTGTGGTTAGCTCAGCTGCTGTGGAGCACCTGTAAACTTTCAGCTTGGTGTCATCAAATATAGTTTTCTGAAGCTGACCAGAGTCTTCATGCAGCCAAGTGTCCACTGAAAAGAAAAATAATGACAGGAAACAAGTGTTTAAGCAAGATTGGACTGATATTCAAGAGAAGGGCATGCAATTACAGCTGAACAACCTTCCTCACAAGGTTTCATCTGTACCAAACCATACCAGGCAGCAGAGTAATGGCTAACACACACATCAACAAAGATCTGGGTGCAAATTCATGCAGAACAAATGAAAATGAGTTTGGTCCTACTTGTTTATATTCTGAACCTATCACACAACGAGAAGCACTCTATAGGCCCAGGCCTTGAATAACAGGCATATTGCTAGTCATACATGTAGTGCAGTAGCAAAAACAGAGCAATAGAACTGACCGTAGTCAGGCTCATTGGCACCTCTGCAAGTTCTAGTCAGTCTTAATTGTTTCTAAGTGGAAAATACAGAACCAAACATCCAAGTGTAATTCCATGTTTATCAAAATCAAACGTTAAGAAAACTTCCTGCTCAGTGTGTATTTGTGGCAGTGGAGTTCATGACACACCTGGGGGAGAATAGACTACCACGTATTGAATTTGGCCAAGAAGTTACAAATTTAGGTCTCCAATCCTCTTTGTTGCCAGTTAGCTTGTGGAGGAAGCAGTGTGTGGAGTGAGGCATGTTGTAGCCTGGTGTTGGAGACAAAAGACTGAACTGGATCTCTATGGGCACCTCCTCCGGCTTCTCCGTCTGACATTAGTTCTGGTCTGAGAGGCAGCTGGCTGCCTGACCTTTGCCTGAGTAACAAAAACGATTGTCACCGTTCACTAAAAATAAAAGGTCAGCCACCCAGTAGCGCCAGTTTTATAGAGGAATAAGCCCCCCCCCACTCTGTTGTATCAGCTTTGTCCAAAGGCAGACCCTCAAGTTCAGGGACTAAGGCCAAGAACTGGGAGGCAGTAACAGTGCTCCACAAAATGAAAGGAGCGTAGCAGCTACGCTCTGATACCTATTAGCCTAAAGCAAAACCTTGGTCTAACGATTGCCTCACCGCTCTGCTAGGCCAGCTCCTTAGCCAAGT